AGATCATGTGATATGTCATGTGATCTGATCATGTGACATATCATGTGATAGCCATCAAAGATTTTGGCACTTATCTAGTATTTACACCAGAATAGTGTAGCTACTACAACTGCAAAATAGAGTAAGTATTGCATTTCCACATGAAAAATTGAAGAGAAAGAGGGAAAATAATAGAGGAAATTCAATAAAGCTAGAAAATCAGAAAAATAAATTAAAATTAAAATTAAAGTAATAAAGTAATGTTAAATATTGGGGTACAATATGCAGGGTCTGGGCACATTTTCCAATATGGTAATCAACATAAATATAGGCAGAAAAATAAATAAAAATTCAAATGATATGTGATAATTTTGATGTACTGTTTACTTCGTCTGTGCATATTTCCAAGTATGGTAATTAACGAAAATATAGCCAGAAAATTAGAAGAAAAATAATGTACTATTATTGACAATATTGACATACTATGAACATAGTTTGTGCACATTTTCTGATATAGCAATTGATACAAATATAGCCAGAAAAATAAGAAAATGGACTGTTGTTGACAATATTGGGTATGTACATGGCCTGTGCATATTTGCTAATATAGTAATTAATACAAATGTAATTAGAAAAATAAGAAAAATCATGTGATGTAAATAGGTCTTGGTGTACTGTTTACTTGGTCTGTGCATATTTCCAAATATAGTCTATAATGAAAATATAGCCATAAAATTACAGGAAAAAGAGAAAAATAATGGACTATTGTCAGGAATATTAAGGTACCATCTACATGGTTTGTATGCATTTTGTAATATAGCAATTGATACAAATATAGTGTGAGAATCAGAAAAGAAAACAGAAAAAAAGAACAGACATACTATTAACTGTTACTGACAATGTGGGTGCATGGTGGATATGATCTGTGCATATTTCCAAATAAGGTAATTTGTGTAAATATGGCTAGAAAATCATAATAAAACGAGAGTAACATTGGAGAAAATGTAGATGGTAATTACTGGTGGTCATAATGTTGCAGGGCTGATTTCAGAGTCCATTTTGCATGTTCAAATGATAAATATTACTATTTCAAATGAAAATCATTTATAAAATATAGTAAAAATGAGAAAAAATAGGACTTCTTGTTGGGTACTGTTGTCAAGGTCTAAAATCTATATCTAACAAACAAAATTCAAGTATTTCTAATAGAGAGATCAGAATTCTGTAGGATCCTAGCCATTTCTGTAGAAATAGATGGGGCACAGTAAAGTACTGGCAGTTGTGATGGGGTTCAAGAAAGAAATTCAATATGTCACTATAGTCAACAAACACAAATACATCACATATACATTTACATGAAACATCAGACTCTGACAATCCTCAGAACTCTCCAGTGCTCAGGAACATACCTCTATGGGAGTGAGAAAATAGAGCTAGCATAGTAAATGTAACAATCCCCAGAACTCTCTCTAGTTTTCAGAAACATAGGTTTACTGCAGTGAAGAATATGGCTTGCACATCAGCCAATATTTATCTCTGGTAATTTGCATGAATAATAGACAACAGTAATGATTCAGTAACTAGGGCCAGTCTATTATAGGCAATCACCAATATAAACTCAATATAAGAGCAGTCAGTAAAAACCTTTATTATCTGATGAAGCATAATTTAGAGGCTATAACTATATAACAAATAGCTGAATACCAATAGATACAGTTGCATGCAAGATATAATCTGCTGTTTCTATAATAAAAATATAATATAAAAGTTAAAGGGTAAGTTTAGGACCAAAATTATCTTTATGATAAATTTTGTAGAAAAGTTGAATCCAGAAGATAAAAGTTTGAATGGTCAGAAATTTTTGAAGTTTTTTTTTTGAAACTAGGACCCCAGATACTCTGTGACACTGGCAGGAAATTTTTTGCCTGTGTGACATGGCTAAAACATTTCCGAGCAGTGTGACATGGTCAAAACATTTTTCAGCAGTGTGACATGGCTCAAACATTTCTTAGCAGTGTGACATGACCAAAAGATTTTTCAGCAGTGTGACATGGCTAAAACATTTCCGACCAGTCTGAAACACTTCAAATATTTCCGACCACTCTAACATGCTTCAAACATTTCCGACCAGTCTGAAACACTTCAAATATTTCCAACCACTTTCAGATGGCTAGGATATTTTTCAATGCAATATATCAACCCAAATATTTCCGGTCACAATATTGAAGGTCAAACATTTTTGCCCAATGCAATAATATATTTTCCTCCAGAGGCAAAAAAATAAACGGCCAAGGAACCTATTAGCCTGGATATATACCTATATGTTTCAAGGCTAATAGCTTGTTCAAGGTGGGTGACTGAAGTGATTATAAGCTAATCAAAAATTGAAAGACTTACAACAAGAGTGTAAGTCAGTAGAACGGGGTGATGTTACCAAGAACAGCCAAGTTAAACATGATCATCAATCGAATCAAGAAGACTTACAATATGATAGTAAGCAAATATCAATCACGAAGTAGAAAGGAGTGACAGCACTAGAAATGATCAAGTTAGCTACTAAGTCATGAAGCGTGAGAGATGTAGTACAAACGGACGACAATGTGAGGGTGTAGTTGTTGAAAACAAGCCACAATACTAAAAAAGAGCATGTTAGGTACGTCGATGAAGCAGAAACGGACTGACGATGCAAGAGTTAGTTAGTTCTTCTTGCCAGTGCCAACGTGTTTTTGAGACCTGGAAGAGCCTGGTTGCGCCGATTGACTCACAGATTGCTGCAATGTCGGATCAGATCAAGAGGATGAAGATGTCGACTGATTTCGGAGCGGATTATAGAACGAAACTGGCTGAACCGGCTGAGTCGCCTGATGGTACTTCTTGTAGAACATATTGTCGGAAAGGCCGACAAAGGAGACACAACGTTGGCGCTTTGCTTCAGGCTCCTCTTGCGCTTGCTTGTGTTTCAGAATAGGGCGGTAATCCCTCACAGACCTTGCATCTTCGCGTTCATCGGGAAGGGACATTGCGTCGTCACGCAAACGCTTCTTGGATGGCCCTGGCGAAGGAGGAGGGGACGAGATCGAGGCCGGAGAGCTCGGCGTACCGTTGTGTTGCTGTTTGTTGACTGTAGTTGAGATAAGGCAGTTGCCACGGACCCACTTATTTGAGTCTTTGACGAAGACCATCGGGAGACCCTGCTGGTTGAGAATGACCAGGATTTCACCGAAGCGTGCGTCGGCTTCAGCAATCTGTTTTTGATCTAAGGAATACATGTCATCCAAATTAATGTTGAGGAAGCACAATGTGAACTGACCTGCATTCCAGCTCTTGATTTGGAGAATGCCCTTGATCACGAGAAGGGAGAAATGCATCCATTGCCTGTTCTGGATTTTTGTAGAGACAAACGACCTGCAGAAACCAACGTCGAGCATCGTGGAATCCCATCCAGTGATA